CCGGGTGCTGTCGACTCAAAAGAAAGAAAAACATTGAAGAACTCCCGCAAAATAAAACAAGATCAATCGAAAAGGTGTCAGGGATGTATCGGCAGTTGAATGGCAGTACGGTATTGTAATGAATTTGAAACGAAATAGAAACTATGATCGGCATGATCAACTTGAGAAAGTGAACTCAACCAGCCAGAAATAGCAGTCGATTGTAGTGTGATCGTTTACTTAACGGCGATAAGTCGATTGCAGAAATTTGTCGAAGACAACTATCTTTAAGCGGAATTTATAACTTCTTGATAATATTGGACTACAAATTTATATAGCGTTAACCTTAATAAAAGTCCGTCTGTGTCGTGAATTTCTCATTTTTAACAAGAAAAACAATGCTCCACACCTGCTGCAAGCTACTTTCAGTCTATTGGTCTTACTAAGGGGAAAAAAGCTGACTCACGTCTCGAACGTTCTACCGAGTATTATGATTTGCATTTAAATATAGAGAGGTTGAGATACTTGAAGAACGAGCCTTTCATGCGCTGTGCCCAAATACAATGTAACGTAATGTAACGGCAGCTACTTATAACTATCTGTGTACATAATGGGCTTGACAAGTTGGATGGTAGGTGAAACCGAATCCAGAAAAATGTTCAAAACCTTTTTAAGAAGCTGTGCACTGGGTAAGTACCACCTCTATTATTTCTGTCGGGTATAATGTAGCAATGAGATCTATAGACTTGACTTTCTATTTTGTGAAAAACTTACATCGATTTTGGAATTTCCTGGAACACTCAGGCAAACGAAGCTTGGAAAAAAACTTGTCAGGTGGCAATCATCACAGAGAATGATGGCGATTCTTCTTTTAGCTCGTGTCACAACGTTTTTCAGTTTTTATACAATGCCAAATGATTGGAAAACAATTGAAAGTCATCGTTATTCGTGATGTTTTCCCTGCGGTGGTCTGTATAACAGCTCTAAGCAGCCACATTTAGGATCAAAGGAATACAGTGGCTTAGTGGCTATCCTTCCACGCTGTTGTGACAAGATGTCAAAATAGAATCGCGTACACTATCGCTACTCATTTATGCGTCAGTTGGCAGCCGGAAAATTAGACGTTTTTAGTCTAGCGACGGAAGCCGAGCAATTTGGAAGCAATCCTGGAAGGAGGGTCTCAATGGGGTTAACCTTTTAACCTAAAAGTTGGCCGTTAGGCGTATAAATTGACAAATTTTAACCATCTAAAAAATAATAATAATTCTGGTATGAACCATGGTAAGATATTAACCGTAACCGTAAATTGGCCAAAATTTTAACCGTTAGCTGTAAAAGTCATCACCCCATTGAGTCCCTCTAGAAGTTCTCTTCTCAAAACGTAGGGAAATATTTTCACGCTCTCGGCGCTTCCTGCGTGCTTTGTAACAGAACAAAGCACACTCTAGGCTTCTTTATCTGTCAACTTAACAGGTATTAGGTTAGGCAGATGCAGAAATTAATGACCAGGCGCTCGGAAAATATTGGATATGTTATGCCTGCTAAAACTAAAATGATAATACAACGAACTAGAAACTACTGAATTATTTAACAAAAGCAGAAATAGCAATAACGTATTAAAACGAGCCATAAGGGAAGATTAATGAGCGGAAGATTAGCATACAATTACGTAATGACACCGGCAAGAAAAATTTATCGCGCATAACAGGAAATTAGATTGTTCTAGAAAATGTCGCACAATTTTCAGCAAAAGACAAAAGACATTATTTAAACTGCTATTGTTTCGATTCGGAGGCTGCTTAACCAGTTTTTAATGATTGAAGTTTTATTTTGCTAATAAATTAGAAAGTGCCAGTCATTAAAACATTTTGATATTAGCTTTGTTCATGGGTTTATCAATTCTTGTTTTTACGAAGCAAAACAATACTTATCATCTATTGCCTAGAGCCTTTATTTGAATTAGTTGTTCAATTTAAGAAGAACCAAGTTATGACTTATGTCACGTTGAGAAGACAGCGTCCTACTAAGAGTTACGACATTGTGCATGCATCAAAAGAAATTCGAATATGGAGTTCAAAACGCGTGAAAAAACACTGCACATGTGCTTTGATAAATGAACTGACGACAACCAAAGCAAGAGAAACATTTTACACCATTACCATGTGCACTTCCATAAAATTGATCATGAAGTTCTTATTTCTATCCAACAAAATAATCCTCTGCGTCCGGAGCAAATAGTCCACGGTTTACTAAGGTACACAAAAAGAGTACAATTTTAGTGACGCAAAGCGATCAAAGCTTATGATATGCAAAACTGTCTACATGGTGCAAGAGAGTTCGAGAGAGTTTGAAAGATATGCTGCACATGCGCAGCCTCCGAGAGAAACTTTCATCAATCTCATGACAACAATTGACAGCAACATATCCATAGTTTGTCTTGATGAATTCGGATGACAGGTGGAATCAAAGCCAGGAAAATGTTCAACGCGCTTTTTATAAGTTGCACGCTAAGTGAGTACCAGCTGTATTATATATCTAATATCAGAATGCTGTCGAAAAGTGGTTTTACAAAACCATGAAAATAATTTTAGAAAAAATAATCAGGTTATTTTGTGAGACTAGTTTTGCGTTTCTTAACCTCACTAAAATGTAGAATAATATGAAAACAATAAGCTAGAATGAGAAAATATAACATTTTGAAACCTGCGACGACCATTATAAACCATAGTTGTTGGGTTTTGACGGTTTGCGCAACAGTATTATTTCTAGCAATAATGTCGAGGATCATTTGAACGCAGTCGCCTATAAGCTGCGATAGTGCTCTTGTCTTTCACCGATAAAGTGGCCTCTCAGAATAATCGATGGTTTTTAATTCACTGGCCGAATGTATGAATTTGTGTTGACTGAAGTTGGCATTAGGTTTGACGGATGAAAGTCTCGTCGTTCTAGCCGGGCCGAATCGATAACTTCTGGTGATGGAGGTTTTATCCAGTTTCCTCTCCATTCTTAAGATAATTTCTAGGCTTGACCTAACCTAAACCACTGAGTTCTATTTGTGGTTCGATACCAAAAAGCTCAGTGCCAAACAATTAGTCTTTATGACATCATAGTGTTAATTACTATCGGTTATCTAACGGAAGAGCAAACCATGTTTGAAAAACTTGTAGCTACCTTTTAACAAGGAGAGGAAAATTGCTCCTCTGATCGCAATGAATTCAAAATTGAGCTTTATACATCGAAATGTATATTTCCACATCTTAAATCAAGTTTTAGAATATATTTTTTTAATTAATCGAGAAAGTCCTTAAAATTCAGGGTTATGCAAATGTAAATATCACTCGGGAGAGTGTCGATAAATTTTCGAAAACTAAACAGTAACGTCTGAAAATATTTGACATTTTCTGTGTTGACATAGACTTGTTTAAACACAAGAGAAGGTTGGATTGGGAGAAAGGTAGATTGCAAGAGGCTATCGAGGAATTGCATAATTTTCGAGAAGTATCCCAACCTCCTGATAATTCTTCTCAGCGCTTAGCACAGAGGACATGTTGAAGTTATGTTAGTCAGCAACACAAATGTGACTTGTAACCTGCGTTTCTTTTGGAGAGCTCGCATATAGCTCGTTAGCGTGGCGAGAAGTTTGAAGTCTAGTCTTCCGAAGTTTACAAAGGCCAAAAACTCAAAGCGTGGATCATTTTCTGCCAGGTGGTAGGCATTTTGACCGGTAAATATTTGCGTTCTTACTTTAAACACGGAGGGATGGTCGTTATGGCGTACATTCCCGAAAAGGAACTACTACATGAATGGACCCTTGAAAGTGTGGTGGATTCGGAATTAAAAAATATTGAAATTTTGCGAAAAGGTGTCCTGTCTTTTGTGTCATTTGCGAATAGCTTACTTTTGAAGGGCGTTACGTAGGTGCACGTGCTATTGAAGAGTTCGGCTGCACGTGAATATTAATGTTACGAGGAATGGAAGAAGAGGAATGGAACTTTATTAATAGCGAGACTCGAAATGGCAGACTATTGGAGTGGTACACCGGTTTGAAAAAAAGGACGGAGAGTGGACTTGGGTGAATGAAAGGCCACTGACTATCAGCAAATGGAGAGAAAACCAGCCAAGAGAAAACAGTAATGTGGCATTTATAGTCAAGAATTCCCATGTGGATGATCAGGGCATATCTACTAATCTGTTTGGGGTAGCTCCTAAAGCTTACGTCTGTGAGATACCTAAATTTGCGCCTCCTAAGTGCAAATAGACTAAAAAACGTGTCTTGGCCCTTAGCGTGATAGAAATACCATCATGGATTACACAGTCATGAGCACGTTGATCTTAGGTTCCCATGCCTCTATTTCCCTTCTATGTTGCAAACGTGTATGTGTATACGACAATCGAATATAAAGAATATGGAGAAACCACTCCCCCTCCTAGCCTTAGTCGGCTAGCTATCCAAATGAGTTTGGCTTTCACGCGGATCACGCAAATAAATGGGGTGAAGATAAAAGAGTTCGGTGGAGTCTTCAGGAAACTAAATTCCTCTCAAATGTTTTGCTCGTGCGTTAGTTATAGACCATAGTACCACTCAATTTATCTATCCCTACCATTTTGATATCGAGTATCAAAAAAAACAAACTGGGACTAATTGCACATCTAGTAAAAATCATAATAAAGGTTTCAGAACCGGCTCAATGTAAGAAATGAAAAGATTTGTAGTAAATGCGATTATGGCGGATCAATTGGGCTATCCAGCATGATTTGCATGTGAGCGAGGCTAGTAAGATTTCCTCTAGAAGCCTGTCATATTTCGCAATGCCAACGGGATTTTCCTGTTTCTGAATATCACTAAAAGGGAATGTGGAAACTTTGTCATCAAATCAATTGGGGATCAAATACGTTCAGTAACAAAACATTGGTACAAGGAGGAATACATAAATCAGTTTCAGGGAACTCCTTTCTTTTTTTCTTTTCTGAATACTTTTCCCTTATTGCCAACTGTGACAGCATGGCCATCAGCATCAGCGATGGCACATACGTCGCTGTCGCCATCAATAGCAGCACCGTTGCCCTCGCCGATGCCATTGCCATTGTCATCACTGTCTCTGTTGCCGTTGCCCTCACCCTCACCATCGCCATCGCTGTTTCCGTTTCCGTTGCCGTTGCCATCTCCATCGCCGTCGCCTTCAAATTCAGTTCAGAAGTTGGTGAGTGTTATGATCATATGCGGTCCTTGTACCTGTTATGTTTTAGAAGGTAATTAGTGCATACCTGTGACTGACGTTTTCATTATTTTAGGCAAATGAATATGTTTCCAAACTTGGCAGACTCGATAGCGACAGAAACACTTCTTTGCAGGTATCTAACTCCACCAATGACATATATTAAAATGCAGAATACATTCAGATATAGATATATGTGTATATAAAAATACACCCCTTTTCAACGTTGCCAATTGAAAATATACATTAAATATATACACCTGTCCTTTTTGGATCGAAAAATGTGATGCACGATGCATGTATATTTCACATCAAGGGATCAAAACGTTTATGGTTATTTTGACAGCAGCTATTGTAATTCCATTTGAACAACTTCCCTTTAATTTCTTTTATCAGAAGCTTTTTGAATGGAAAAAGAAAAGGTGTATGTATCATTTAACAAATAGAGAAGCCTTGACTGTGCTCTGTTCTGTTGTAAAGCACACAGGAAGCGGCTAGAGCACGAAAGAAGTGTAGGGAGAAACACTCGACTACGTCTCGTGTTTCTCCACACTTTATGAGTGCTTTAGCCGCTTCCTAAGTGCTTTATAACAGAACAGAGCACAGTCAAGGTTTCTCTATTTATTTTATAATAAAGAATCCGTTAAATTCCCTAAGCATTACTTTCAATTTTCAAAACAAACTTTATTTCCAAAGTGAACAACAGTGTCGTCAGCATACTCTATACTCTCATAAAGCACGCTACTATAAGCCAATCAGTGTCCCTGTTAGAATGGTTCAAATAATCTGATTGGCGGTACAAGACTAAAGCTGTCAAAAAGTGTCAACATTCTGCAATAGTTTACAAACTAAAATAGTTCGGCAGGTCGAATTTAACATTTTTGTCTGAAGTTTTAAGTCTCTAATACAGAATCTTACAGTGAAATGTTGAGTGAACTTCGGCCGAATTATGGCTCATGAAAACACGCGAGTTTTTTCACATGACAAGGTAGAAAACAAACTGTTCAAGGCGAGTATTTTTTGAATGAACGACAGCCGAATTCACCGGAACATGAAGATCGCTCGGGATGACAGCGCCGCAAAACTCGGCTGCAATGACTGATGTGACTTTCCACTCAGCGCATTGGAAAGGATATCAGAGTAAGCTCTTATTTTTCACTCGAAGGGCGGCCGATGTAGTTTGAGGTTTGCTTTACTGCGATGAACGGAGATCGCCATGATGAGCGAGCCCCGATGGACTTCAGCATGCTCGTATTCGCTCAGACACCGTTATGACAAGTACGAATTTTAAGTTATGCCAGTTTGGTTATATTTTTCGTCGTTTCCGTTTTGTTTTCTTTTCGTTTTGAACACTGAGCTTTATATACTATACGAGTTTTAGCTGTGTTTGAATTTTATTACCGTACGCGAGCTTGCAATCTAACTGAGCGTGAAAATCTTTAAAACTCGGAATGTCTATTTTGTTTTTCCTTTGAGGATTTTCGTATCTGCTCACGTTTTAATAACGTAAATTACGGCGCCTGGTTCTTCTGTTGCTACTTGCCGGCTCGCTTGTTCCGAAATTTTCGCTTTCAATTATCGAAAAAAAGCGAAAAAGAAGTCCTGGAAAAGGTCGAACATAGTACAATTTGGCAGATGGTGTGACAGCTTTAGCTCAGCTCGATGCTCTATACTCTCATAGAGTACGCTCTTCGACCAATGACAGCGCGCGTTATAGCGGAGCTCGCAGAGCGTAGCCCATAATTAAACAAAATAGTAGTAACCCATCAAGCCGAAAAAATTTGGATTTACGACCGTACGACCGTACACGGTGCTACTTTTAACATGCGTGGTCAACTGTACCGCGGGCACACCAACGCCATGGCTTTGTTCAGTAGTCCAGTGGTCAGTGCACTGGGCTCCGAGTCGGACGACTCGGGTTCTAGTCCTGGCCGGGGCAAGGCGTTGTGCCCTTGAGACGTGCGGGCTCCGCACGAATGCGAGCTCCGCTCTAAGGCTTGGCTAAATCAACATTTTATCCGAACTTTATCATAAATATACATATGTTCAAATGGCAACGTTTTGAAAACGAGTTTATAATTACATATATGCATGTGTGTACTTTTATATGTGAAGAAAGGTAGTGACAGAGGAAGAGACAGATGACGGGAAAGAAATCTGATAAGGCCACCTGAGCCAAGGAAAAACAGCTTTCAAACAACACTCTGTATACTTATATCGTTCTAGGACCGGAACAATATTCTTCTTTAACATCAAAACTCTCTCCTTAGTCGTTCCTTTTTTGATGTTTTACTTTTTATCAAACAAAGCAGATTCCAAGTTGCCGCGCATCTGTTTGGTGATGGATAAAAATAAAACTTTAGTAGTATTGAGCACATCAATGATCCGTTTCTTTATTCTTACACATTTTGGCGTCATTAATGATCTATAAGTATAATTAATCAAATACATGGCAAAGGGGTAACTATTTGTAACAAAACAAATTTTTAGGTGATTAGAAACACTTTGTTGGCATAGGTTACAATAATATTGTTAAAAATCACATGAATAAAACGTTTTACGTGATTTCAGGAGGCTGTAAACGTGTTTGAAAACTTCATCGTCAGTCTTGAAAACATGACAAAATTTCATGAAGGCCAGTTCACCATAGACGAGTTTCAAAGAGGAAGAGAGTCCATCTTTAATGTGGCTGTCGCCTTCGAGAAATTTGCTCTTAATTATGGCAAGCATCACCTTCCAATAAAGATTGTAAGCCACAAAATGGGTGAGTTAAAACACCACCTTTTTATCAGATTTGTGATAATCTTCTTCGTCGATGCTTATTCACGGTCTCAGTGACTGACACTTTATCTCCTAGATAGGATAATGACTTTTACATCTGGGCTGGATTGCTCTAAGCTGGGTTTAGATAGCCGAGGAGTAGTGTGAAAACTGATTTCAGATGTGAAAGCTATAAAAGAGAATTCAGCATAATTCTATTGGACTATTGACTATAATCTTGATGATTACTGGACTCTTTAAAAACAATGAAGACAATTATCTCAAAAAAGCTTTGAACGAAAGAATCAGAAACTCGGATAAGAATTTAACCTTGGGTGAGCGCCAGTTGGCCTCAGAACAACTGAGTGGGTCCCGAGTCATTTACAAACGCTTATGTTGGATGTTGTCTGTCTCTTAATTCTTCAATTAGTCACATTTTTGATCGTATTATCCATAAGCAGGAAGTCAATTTTTTTGTCCGACAGTGCTGGAAGTCTAAAAGGCTTACCGCCAAAATACAAGTGACTTTTACTTCGACGTACACGAATGGCAAACGAACATTAATATTGCCTCTTCGAATTTTGCAGATAACGGTTTGTATTACCTGTCGTCTTCAGTCTGAAAAAATTTATATTTTTTTAAACAGCGTTGACGTAATTTCTCATGAAGGACAGCTCACAAGTTTTCGCAGGCTTTGCTTCCAAAACCAACACTCATAGGGTTTATTTCTTTTATAGCCTGAAGGAAATACATAGATTTATCTTTTTCAGGATCAGTGGTCGTCGGGTGCGTATATAAGAATCTGCAAGACATACTGCCGAAAAGTCAACCCAGCAGGAATGAAACAGGAAGCACAAGGTAACAATACTGTCTTCTTTGTATTCAAAACACCTGGCCCTGGTTGTTCGAAGGGTGATTAACGCTATTCACTGGATAATTCGCTATCCAGCAGATAGAACGAAACATTTTGTTAACACTTATCTGCTGGATACCGTCGACTGGCGTTATCTTCCCTACGTAGAGAACATCGGCTAAAATGTGCAAATCGTTTGGTATCGTCACCACCGCTACCATTCTTTTAAACCATCATATTTGTGTCACATTCTGGTTCATTTTCAAATCATTTTGTACACAGATATTTGGGTAGCAGAATAATAATGACAGCAATGGAACCTAAACCAAAAAAATTGCTGGAAAATGTCGTCTTAAAGTTCAAAAACATAAAGGTAAGCAAGATTAAGTCAGATGAAAGTAAAGAAAGATTGTTTGGAATGCGCTGTTTTTATTTCATCTAACCGCAATGATTTTATTTTCAGATTGAAGAAAGGGTGAAGAATTGTATGTTTTGGAGAGGCTTCAGCGATAGGTAAAAAATTGCAATACATCATCTACTTTTCTTAGAATTTTCTTGTTCGTTTGGTCGTCCGTTTGCCTCTATGTTCCCGCCAATATTTTCCGTGAGTTTTCTTGGAGTCCAGTTGCTTGTTGCTGTATTTGCGAATGTCCTCTTATTTTCCGGTTGTCGTGGGAGACACTTAGCTAGAATTGGTATGTTTCATTATTTTTTTCCTTAATTTATCATTAATTTTCCCTCATAATTTGTCCTAATGAGATTATTTTCTCTATTAAAATAATTTTTGCAAGCTATAATCCTTCTATCTACGACAACTTCTGTCTAAAAATTTGGAATATACCCAATCAAAGTTTGAATCTATGCCTAACAAGGAAGTATTATAAATAGTTTCCGCCTTGACTTATTAAAACTAATAATGAACTGCTAATAATGTAATCGATATTATGAAATCAAAAGGGTTTTGATGAAATTCGCTCTTTTGGTACCATGAAAGGTTATTTCCTACACTACGTCTTGCCTGCTGAGGTTATTTCTTCTTTGCAGCTCCGACGGATTTTCAGACGAAGGATGCCATGTAGTTACGTCGAGAAGCAATTCAGAAGAAACAGTTTGTAGCTGCAATCATTTGACTCATTTTGCTGTATTATTTGATTACAACGATGGCACAAAGGTAACCAATTATATGTATGTTCTTCTTCCAGCACTGGTGATACATGTAAATTAATTGAGCTAATTTGCGTGTCTCTATTTTCTTTTTTATGCTATGTGACGCAGCTTTCCAAACAGGACGAGACTGTGTTGAAGACAATTACCTACATAGGATTAAGCTTGTCGATCATCGGGATGCTTATAACATCAGCCTTGTACTTTTTCTTTACGTAAGTATGGTGGTTAAATAATCGATGATGTACACATTCTCATGTCTTCTTCTACTTACTATCGATTGTAATTTCTCAACAAAGGAAAAAAAAACAAGGAATAAACGTAACTTTAAGTTATCCAAAATGTTCCTTTTAATTTCTCCGAAACTGAGGTAAAGTAAGTCGATTAAATTACCAATTTACATCAGATTTCATGTTCAATTAGAAGAGCATTAACGATGCATGGTCTCTTTCCTCGGTCCTTATTGTTTTCTTATTCTATACCAACTTGGCTTTTTATTTTCCTTTTGATTCTGAAGCTTTTGATTGATTTTTTTTGGTGTTTGTCTTGATTTGTTTGTTTTTCTTTTTTTTTCTTAATTTTTCATTTGAATTATTTTTGTTTTGATTATGTTTTTTTTTTTTTTAAACCCATGTTTGGTCTTTGTTTTTGCTTTCTTTTTTCGTCATCTTTCATTTGACCAGAGACGTCCGTCAACCTTTGTCTCAAATTCGATTGAGTCTTTCTGTGTCCCTCGGAGTTGGACAGCTAATTTTTCTCGAAGGAGTAAACGCCACAGAACACACGGTGAGAGGCTTTTCCGGTCTGTTAATTTAATTAATCAAATCTTTCTGCTCTAAATATTTTTAGAAAATAGCACAGAAAGACACAAAACATATTTCCTTTTGCAGGCTGCTTGTATCGCAGTAGCAGCTCTGATGCAGTATTTTCTGACGGCTGCCTTTTGCTGGATGTTGGTCGAGGGAATCTACCTCTACCTGTTCGTTGTGAAAGTTTACAACATCAACACCAAGATGCACATGTATCACGTCATCTCATGGGGTATTTCCATTATTAATTTTACCACAACATATATTGGAAGTTACACCATGCTCCCATATTTGGTGTTGTCATCAAGTCAAGTGCTTTGAATTAATTTTTTTGTATTTATGATTAGGTCTCCCTATGATCATTATGGCTATTTCACTTGGCATTGCTGCTGCGAAAGAAGGAATACAAAGCTATATCAGTGATAAATAGTAAGAAACACATCAATAGGTTACTTTTTACCTTTCTTCTCTCTCCCGCGCACTATCAAGTTAAGTTCGTTTTAATTTTCTTGTTCCGTTTTTCCTTGGATTTTTTTTATTCATTCTGATGACTTTCATTCTTGTTTTTCAATTCTCCTAGTTGTTGGGTGTCTTCGACTAACAATCTGATCTGGATATTCGTCTCCTTTGTAACGTTCATCGAAGTTGTGAGTTTATGATAAATTCATTTCACGGTGCTTGGTTTACCAAACTAGTTACCTCCAGAGACTTTTGTTGTTTTGTTGTTTCACCTTTTTCAGCGTTGAATACCAAGATGTGTTTTCTAGGCAAAAAAGTACCACATTGCACAACACTAAAAAAGAGGATGGGAACAGGATTAGAAGGAGATATCAAATTTGACTGTAGCTACGTTGAGCGTAATTGATTCTGTTAAGAAAGTTTTATTCGCGGAATCAGCTCAGTGGTCGAGGATCCGGGTGCAAGGGTCGGGATTTCTATACCCCGTAATGGAATCATTATTTTTTTTTTTCCGACCTATACTAAACGAATAACTTCTATAGTAAGACTGTCTTGGCTTCTCGAGTACCACATCCAGAAACTTAATTCAGTGATTTAAATGGAATTTCTTTTTAGCTCAACATCTTGATACTCGTACGAGTCATAAAGGAGATGACCAATTTGGTGCAGCCAACAGGTGAAGACGACCATATTCAGCAAATACGGTAGGATTCACAACATGAAATTATTCAAAATAATAAAAACAAATTGCCTTGTCAAACTGTACGGCGACAATCGCCTGGCTCCCTCATTCCTTGACCAGTTTGCCTTTACGATACCTGTTAATGAGACTGCGAAAAAAAAAATATCAACTCAGTCTTTTACATGTCTCTTCAATTTGTTGTCGATCTCAGAATTGGTATCAAAGCTTGCGCACTGATGATTCCTTTACTGGGTGTCACGTGGCTATTTGGTCTTCTTTCACCTGTGCAAAAGGCTTTCGCTTACATTTTCACAATACTCAACTCTACTCAGGTGAGTGTCCGATTGAAACTCTTAATCTTAATCAATCTAGATTGTTCAATTTACACAGCTCTAACCAAAGAGAGAAGCCTTTGCAATGATTAGATGATTTTTAAAAAAAATTTAAAAACCTGTTAACTATTCATTTGACCCGAAATATATTCGTAGCAGTCTTATTAGACTTATTAGATATTGATTTTTGAAGACGATTATTATATGCCTTGTGCACTGAGATACCCAAACAACGCACGCTCCGCCGCTTCCTACTTAGGTGGAATATTGTAAAAAAATAATCTTCAAATTGTTTCTGCAACAGGGTTTCCTGATTTTCGTTCTACACGGCTTACGAAACAGTCAGGTAAGAAAAGAAAACTGAGTCAATAATAAGTAAAGTGCATATTATAGCACAAATGTTTAAGCATGAATAACTATTTGAATGAAATTTGAAAGAAATGTATCGTTTGTTGCTTGTCTATCTGTAGATCAGAGAGCGATTGAAAAGAAAGATGAACGGGGTTTTTACCACTTCAATTAAGGAGGACTCCACAAGGAAGAGCCCACAGGTCAATTTAAGTGACGTCGGCGATGCACGGGCAGTTGAATTGCAGCCTCGCAGTGACATTAAACCGAATTAACACTCTACTTAAGTCAATGGATTTAACTGTTCGCCAATAACATTCTATTGCATTGAACGATTGTGTAGTAAATAGCGATTAGTCAATGGCGATCGATCTGAGTTTCAATCTGCTGTTAAAATGTCACGTAGTAAAAGTAAATTGACATTAGGTGCATTATGCATTATGTAAGTCGTTAGTTTTTAGTTAGTATGACGGATGTAGAGCTACCGAGTAGAAATACTGTCAATAAATTGTCATTATTATTATCATTATTTTATTACTATTAAGTGAGATCGTTCTCTTGTTTATTGTTTTAGCAATTTACAAGCTGCAAGTGCTATCTTTTATCTTAACGACTTTTCCAGAACATCGCATACATGTACTTGCTTAAGAATTTTTGTTAGCTACATGCTAAGTTGCGCGCACTAAGGATCAAATGATCGTAACTACAGGTTGGTCTGGCTCGTCTGTTATTAAGTGACTTTCATTAAAGATTAAATCTACTTTAGAAGTTCAATGAACTCATGGAATGAACTGAGTTATTACAAATTCTTCTGCCTCCTTTCAATCCTCGTGCGCTACATTTTAACGTTTGCTAGATGATGCTTTTACGTTTCATATCGGAGAGGATACTTGTCAAATAGTATCTTGTAACTGTAATATTAGCAGCCTCGTCCAACATCTAATGTTATTACTCATGAATAAACAGATGAATAGATAGATGATGCTGAGTTAATGCATAAATAACTATGTTAAAAAAGAAAGAAATTCTAAGAGATTACATATTTTAACCCTTCAATGACTAAGATCTCATTTTTAATCCTCCTCACTGTCTGCCATACAATTCTCAGGTGCTACTTCTGAGAAATTGGTACTGGATCAACTAGAAAATCCTCAAACTCTAATTTTTCCCTATGCTCATAACCTATCTGATCGATATTGTATTAATACCGTAAGGAGAAATTCTGTGTTGGTCACTCATGGAAGTTAAAGGATTAAGGATCACTTGAATTTTTCGATATTTATTCTCCACATTCCTTAGATAAGTATTTCTATTTCGAATCGTAAATGTATCGATGAGTTCTGATATTTAAAATTGGAACTATGATAACCAAAATTGGAGAAAGCTTAATTTAACAGCGATCGAAGAAAAATCGCACACAGTAGACAATTTAAAGGAACAAAGTGCAGTAATAGATATGTTAGGTAATTTGTCTTAAAACCTGCTAATGCATCTCCCCAAATTAGTGCATTTCTTGTTCTTGTAAACACTTCTTGAACAATATTATGGTTTTGACATGTGACTAAAAAAAATAAAATCGGATAAAGATATCATACGTACATTTCTTCCCCTACTTTCAAAGGGGTATAGAGAAGTGTGCATCATAGGAATTGACGCAATCACAGCGTATGTTACAACTAAAGTATTATCTTTGTTAGAAAGACAAATTGCAAAAATTTATCCTTCAAGCTTTACTTTTTCCTTAATGGGCGTCGAGCACTGCTAAGAGATTAAGAGATATTTGAGCAGTCTTTTTCCAGCTCAGTTTATGACGCAACGTGATAAGTACGAACGCCTTGCATAAGCTCAGCTAATGTAAACACGACAAAACAATCGACAACATTCTATTATTAGGTCATACCTGTTTATAAATTAGCATATAAGGCTACTTCTTCAGAAGAGAGTAAACAAAGGAAATGATTCTGAAATGCACGGAATTATTCCTCTACACCGGTCAAATGTGATAGGTATAAACGCTTCAAGGGGCGACTGACTCAATGAATTGCGGATGAGACTAAGAACTATTTGAGGATCACCTTGCAATTATATTATGGGAGAGCACTATAGATGGGGATGAAGAGGCACTTGAAAAAGGGATTTTCCTCCTCACAGGACACACATGGCAATGACTGGGCGTAGACTGGAACTTAGACCTGAATGGAAAAGGTTAGCATCCAAAGAGATGGACTCAGAAGCGATGGTCTTCATGGCGCTTTTACCGTATAAGGGGGGAAGGGTGGGGGGAGGGATTTGTTTTGCAAACTGAGAGCTTGAGTATTAGTCGTGAGGCGCCGTTGGTTTTCTGTCCAATTGACGATCAACCCTATTAAAGTTATATTTAACTCACGCTTTAAGAAGGCATCCTTTGACTTGAGGTTTTCCACGTGTGCGAAAAATTAATGACATACGAGGTTAGACCCACCAACTAATACGGCAGTATTTCATCTGCGAGTTGAAATCTAAGAAGTAATTTTCGTTTATTTGGACGAACAGATGGGACACACACATCGGCCACCGGTGAGTAATACAGCATTTTCGTAAACTTTGAAAATAATAAAAGTGTTTTTGTCCCGTTAAATTCTCGATCTTAGAAAGAAAACCAATGCTTTACACCTGGTGCAAGTTTCTTTCCGTTTATTGGTCTATCTATTGAAAAAAGTGAAAAAAAAATGATGACTCGTGTCATGAGCTGTCGACCGAGTGTTATCATTTGCATTTATTCTAACTCCTACTAAAGAAATTTCCTTTCATTTACCGCGCCCAAATACAGTAACTTTTGTCTGCCGACAGCTGCTCGTGGCAACTTGTACATTTCTGGGGCTTGATGAACAGTGAAACTGAATCCTGCAAAATGGCAAAAACCCTTTTTATAAGTTGTGCGTTTGGTAAGTATTACCTTTAATATTTCTGTCAGTTTATCATAAGCAACGAAAGCCAAGCGCTTGACTATCATTTGCAAAAGATTCGACTTATCAACTTTCTGCGACACGCGGGCAAATCTATTAAAAATCTAATTCATGTTGTGTTTATTAGGTATTCTAATACAGAATGTTCCAAGCTCTACAAATATATGCTATAGGCTTCCAGATTATCTCCAAAATAAACGGATTTTTAGCATTAGTTTTCAGGCCCCGGTTGTTCAAAGGATGGATAACTTCTTATCCGCTGGATAAATCGCTATCCTGCGGATAAATTTTACCCATGGCTTCATATCGGTTGTTCAAAGTATGGATATCGCTATCCACTCGCTATCCAACGGATAAATTTATACATGGTTAGGCAGGTAGTATAAATTTTTATCCACCGGAAAAAAAAAAAAAAAAAAAATGGCCGCTCGACGGTTACATCTTCTTCGGTGTAACTTGCCCGACAATCAACGTCGTAGAAAGAGAAGAATTTTTCGCTGCCAGCTCGATCCCTTAGAGTCTTACACTGACTCTGAATTGAGATCCAGGTATCGTTTTGGACGAGAAGCAATAAAATATACCATTGCTGCATATAATTTGTACAACATGTATGAACCCTTTTAATTCATAAGTTTCTGTTAGCAGTTCTACCATAAAGTGGTATGCAGTTCTTGCAAATTGCTCAAGAAAATTTGATGCAATACTCCTTTTCATTTAGACAATATATTTATTGAAATAAACGGGAATTATTTTCATTTAAAAAAACTATTTGTTGTCAAGAACCTCTTTAATGGAGAATTTCTGATAAGCAGGTTATAGCACAATTGTAATGCGAACCGTCTAGGAAACTATTTTTGAATAAAAAAACTGAGGGAACTAGACACTTGAAGCAGTGTTTGTTCACAGCACTAACAAAATGGAAGAAAATGACCAGTAGTGAGTCGAAATGTTTTAAAAGTTGAGGTTTTTTTTAATCTAGAAGCCAGGATAAAAAAGGCAACTTGGCTCTTCTCGATCGATTTATTTAAAGAAAGGGTTCATTGAATTTTAGGAACGCAGGCAAATTACAAGGATTGTCTTTTTTCTTATTACACCCTATCATCATTGAACAATCTTTACTTAACTTTCTACAAATTATAGTTCTATAGCATCATCCTTTCCTGGGTCTAACACTGGCCGTAATGTTTTAGTTCGGCCGCTCGCGACCGTACGCTTCTTTACAAAAATTACATTTTTATCGAGTTACAGGCTATTTTTTCGCCCCAAAAAATTATAAATAAAGCAAACTCTTCAAAAGAAGGAAAGATAATCAGTTGTCTTGCATCATATTAAAACAAAGTACTGCAGACATATGCATATTCAGCACGTTGCGGGTTAAACCGAAATATTACCACAACCTCAACCAATTTGTAAACATTACCACGCGTTAACAGAATCGATGCCGCCCAAAATGCCGCTGAAAGACGGGTCTGTTTCAAATGGCTCGACAATTTTTCCCGTTGTAGCCTTTAAGGCATCTGGTTTCTTTCCACCCCTGGTCTTCTTTCTTGCAGTAGAACGTTTGCTATTTTCTTTATTTGCTCCTCTGACCATTTCTCTCCACTTTTCCTTCACTTCCATGATAGTTCTTTTTCGCAACTCCGGGCGCATTGGCTTTTTCAGTTATTAACTCCCATACCTGACTTTTATTTTTGTTTGAAAGTGTCGTGGAAAATTTACTATTGGTGATTTTGATATTTTCTTCCACTTGTTCGAAAATAACTGCACATTCGACTGGTGTAAAGTTTGGTTTTCTGGCGCACTTTGCTGGGGAAGGAACAACATTTTCTGCCACATTGTCTCGCAATTAGCACGCGCAAGCGAAAAGATCACGCAACGCCTGAGTTATCACCTTGGCAAATGCCTGGAGAGCGAATTAACCATCGGATAGTTATACGCTTCGCTATCCGTGCTTTATGCAACAACTTTTTATCCGCTGGATAACTATCCAGTGGATAGTCTTCTTATATACCGGATAAGCTTATCCAGTGGATAAATTTATTCATCCTTTGATCAAACGGGGCCGGGTGTTTATCCACTTTCCGTTCAATGCAAAATTATTGAAAAAAAGTAAGCCAGAATGGCACATTCGTGCGGCAGTCATAGTAATTTTTGATTTAGACGTCATGGCGGTGTGTCAAACAGCATCAATTAGGATCATGCGACAAAAGATTTTTGCTGTTATCCTGTCTTTGCTAAACGGCTTATGAAACCGTTCGCTTTCAATAATTTTTTTGTAATTTTTTCTTCTGGCGAGCGAACGTTATAACTTGGTTCAATCAGAATTCGAATAAGTTTAAACAGATGCAAAATTTAACAACAGTTTAACTCGGAGTTTGGATATAATTGGAGTGGTACATGTGTTTTTTCATCTACCTGCCTAAAACATCTGACTCATGTTTTTATTCTGACTTTGAGGCAAATTAATAACTTGGTGGACTACTTCCATTCTTTTTTAACGCTGAAACATCATTTACATCTATTTAGATCGATAAAACGATGATCAGTAGAAGCTGATTAGTTAAAGCTACGTACAATCACTCATATTTAATGAAAAGTTTTTTTGAGTTTCCAACAAAAAATTGGTGACAAAAAGGAACAAGGTTTCGACCTCACCGGCCTTTTTTTTTTTTTTTTTTTAGTCCTTTTTAATTACAAAAATTAACATATGAATATGACAGTTAAAAAAAAAAACGGACGAGAAAGTAACAAGCATTTAAGATATGTTAAAAATTATATAATTACAACTATTAAAAGCAAATTGATATTCATTCATATCCAATGACACACACCTACACAAACAGTCAAATTTTGGCCTAACATTTTGAGGCTCCTATAATAGATAGGCGCTACAGTCATATCTTTTGTTTGACACCGAATGTAATGAATTAAAATTGGGTTATAATTGAAGTGTCCCTTCCTGTCACATGTAGTAGATTAGGAATTAAAAATTGTCAATTTGTACACAAAAAATAGAACCACTACCGCATCGCGGCTAACAAGGCAAATCTCTATTAAAGTTCGGAAATAACGCGCGCTTTCTTTGGTTGATTTTTTGATCGTGGGCATCCACACTTCTGGAATTTCTATTCCACTATCCCTGTTGATGTTGTTAGGGTGAAGTCTTATGTGAATTGTCTCCTTGACCCTGCGATCGATCGAGACATTCGACTCGCCCGTACCGAGACCTCCGCCGTTTCAGAGCATTCCCACAACAACGGACACAAGCCGCTCTGGAACGAAGTAAAGTTTATTGATCGTGGCCCTTATTACTACACGCGCAGGGTCAAAGAGGCAATTCACATAAGACTTCACCTTAACAACATCAACAGGGATAGTGGAATAGAAATTCCAGAAGCGTGGATGCCCATGATCAAAAAACACAACAACAGGAGAGCCGTGTGACAGCGGACCGCCGAGGTAGCAAACCACTGATCAGCAAGGATCGAAATGCACCAATCAGAGCTGTTGAAAAACAACTAATCACGGCAGAGCATCATGCTTTATAATATCACGCATGACCAGTCGACCTCATCGCCTAAAGAAGACTAACAGTATGCAGTCGAAACGTCGCGATCTACATCACACGTGACTACATCGTGAGACAAACGAAAAACTTAGCTTTTATGGTTATTCACCACGATGAATAACCACAACCTTTTCTACAAAACATAACTGACATAACAAAAGTAGTCAGTGGCATAACTGTCAAAATTCATCATAAATTATGACGGTATCAGAGCGACCACGACCATTCTTAGGTTCATTGCAGCTTGCTCATCATGGCGTTCTCCGGTCATTGCAGTGAAGCAAGCCTCAGAAATAACATTAGCCGCCCTTCGAGGGAAAGAATAAGAGCTTGCTTTGATATCCTTTTGGTTGCGTTGAGTGGAAGTCACAGCAGCCGAGTTTTACGGCTCTGTCCCGAGCAATCTTCATGTTCCTGTGATTTCGGCTGTCGTCGGTTCATTAATAAAACGGATGCCTTAAGCAGTTCGTTTTCTAATTGTCATATGTAAAAATTTTGGTGTTTTAGTGAGTCACAATTCGGCCGGATTTCACCAAATATTTCAACTTCAGACTGTGCCTGAGGACTGAAGAACCTTAGGCGTGTCAAACTCAACCTCCCGAGGTATTTTAGTTTGTGAATCATTGCAGCTTGTGAACTTTGATGGCCTAACATTTTTAATGGCTTTAAACTAGTTCAACCAGTCAGATTATTTGAACCATTCTAACAAGGATTGTGATTGGCTTATTTCAGCGTGCTTTATGAGAGTATAGAGCAAGTTGACGGCACTGTTGTTCCCTATGAAGTCTATTTCTGTTTTGAAAATTGAAAGTAACGCGTGGGGAATTTAACGGACTCGTTATTACAAAACAAGTAGGGAAGCCTTGAATGTGCGCTGTTCTGTAGTAAAGCAGTTAGGAAGTGGCTAGAGCGCTCAAGAAGTGGAGAGAAACACGACTAGAAATTCTCATCAGTTTATTGTCGTGCCTTTCTCAATGTGAATTTCCATAGATGACCACGAATAACAGACAACTTCAGTCATTTTAATCAATAAATTGAATGCGTCAAAGAAATACTCTGTAGACGTGCGCCTCCTCCAACTTCGGCAATTGCGATACAAATAGGTGACTCTGATGATATGAAAAGTATATTTCCGTGAAAGTAAGAAACTAAATTTATTTTTTACATTCGTACTTCAGCTATCCAGACTTTGATGATGCAATCCGTGAGAGCAGGTAGGGCTGTGATTACTTTTGGTATGTAAGTGTGAGCTAAAATAAAATTTGGCCCAAAAAGGGGGAGGTTGTGATTCTGTTACATTGATAAGTCGTTGAACTGACATGGAACAAAGCTGCATCTTAAACTATAGAACCGCCACCAAGGTTAATGAGGGTTACTAAGGTGAAAACGGTTTGAAATTGTACTTTAACACGAGATAACGAGCTTATTTTGAACTAGTGAAAGGTTCATAACACATATACGAGACACAGACACTTAGTTAAAATGTCTCTATATTCTACTATATACATATACGTAAAAACATATGAAGTAAAGTGACTACATTGATCTCATGCTTTCAAGAATTCGTTTTCAAATGCTATTTTATGTTCTCTCCTGTAATCTACAGACAGCGAACATGCTTGTTTTGAAAGTTCCTGCTATAAATTTAATCTCACGCATAAAACATGGGACGAGAGCAGAAGGACTTGCAAGGACCACCTTGGTGGTGATTTAGTTTCCATTGAAACCGAAGAAGAATGGGACTTTATTAGTGATAAGATTCAAAACCGCACTGAACACCGGTGGCACATCGGTTTGGTAAAAGAGAACGGGGGTTGGTACTGGGTGAGTGGAAGACCACTGACTATTTGTAAATCGGGAGAACCAAGTTGGGGCAGAAGTAAGGGCATGTTAGCCAAGAATGAGCAACAGGGCCACCTTGCAAGTCAAGTCCCTCCCAGCAAAAATGTTCCGACTTTGCCATTTATTTGTGAAATACCAAAAGGTAAGACCACATTAAATCTATATACTACACTGTAAAAACAAGGGCGCGTAGGGAAAGGTTCATCACGCCATAGGAGAGACAGCTATACATGTTCAGGTGTAAGTGTTAAATGCGTGAGAGAAACCCGGTTTTTCTTTTGTTTCCCAAACGTGAAGGAAATTTACTTTGGTCAATTGATGGACAAAGGTATAAACAAATGCTTGAGTTATTGTTGAATATCATGGTATTGCTGCTCAGCATGGACCAATTCCTACCATTATTATATTTTTTTGAAACATAAGCCTGTCTAGACGTTTATCTCGTGAAACAGCCGGAGTGCGATAGTTGACAACGCAATAGTAGCGGCAGAGCGAAAAAAGAGGGAGGTCTGGACTCGGTCGCGCGACGAAAGCGTTCGATACGCAAGATGACCCAAATGTTTTGATCCACAGCGACTTTCCTGACGTTTACTATCGAGCTTCGTTATAATAATTGAAAACCAGGACCAATCTATTGAAATATTGTCTTGCATCTTTTTCAGCTATTGGGGAAAACTCTTCCCAGATCAATTATCAAGACTACGTTGAAATACCTTGCACATTAGAATATGGCAAGAAGAGATGGATGCAGAATTGCAATTTCACTGATGGCAAATGCAATCTTAATTGTTCCGTAACCTTCTGCAAGAATGGGCAAAATCACAAGTCCAAGCCCTGCGAACAGTATTGTAGTCAGACGTATAGCCCATTGGTATATCAATGCATTCAAACGGGATACAAAGGGAATATCATTTTTAAGACGTGCAAGGCTACAAAATTTAACCTTACAATCGGCGAACAGCATTTTTTTACCAAAAAGACCTGCTATTGTGAAGATGATGAGTGTTATACAGAATGCAACAAGATAAAGTGCACGCGAACCTGCAGAGAAAAAAAAACTGGTGAGTGCCTAATCAATCTAACTGGCGACCGAAGCTCTCTATAAAAGAGTATGATGCTTTTCAATAAGTTATACATCGGCGAAACAGGAAGACGACTGGGTGACCGATTCCGAGAACACCTTCGCGATGTGGAAAGAAATGACAAGGACGCATCCAAACCAGTCGCTAGACACTTTAATCTTCCTTATCATTCTAAACAGCATATGGCAGTTTGCGGCCTTTCCTTACATCTAGGCAGTTCGGAAAGCTGTAAAACACTAGAACAAAAATTTATATTCCAAATCGGCACCCTTAATCCCCACGGAATCAACGAGCGCTTTTCATTCAACTAATTTATTCCTGTTTTCTCGTCACCACACTCCCACCGATGGCGTAGCTCCACTTCCAACATATAAATCCACACACAACCCACAATTCCTCTAATCGCTCTGACGAAGGGCTAACGCTCGAAACGTCAGCTTTTTTACCCTTTACGGTGGCTAATTTACGTTTTCAACCCAGTTGTTAACACTAAATTACCTGATGCTTTTCATGTTTAGTAATCGGAAGGCAATATGTGAATTGAAAGATTAAACGATGCGTTTCGTGTACAAGTTAGTGGTTCTACAACAATCGTTTAATTAAGCAAAACATGACTATCACCCCAAAGCATACGGCTTTGCTGTGGTTAATCCAAAAATCTAATTGTCCTGTGATGTATTTATGTAACCATCATTAATTTCTTTATTTATTTTCAAACGTTTGCCTTGAACCGCACTTGGGAAAAGTGTTCTACTTTTCTGAGATAAAATACCACGGAAATACGTAATCGCAACCGAAAGGAGTAGAGTCGCACCAGTGAGAGGAAATTGCCAGTGTTTTCACACAATGAGAACTGAAGTAGACTCGAAACTAGAGCTCATGTTCACAGCTCGGAAGAAAAGATACGCGTCCTGTGGATGAGATTTTCCATAATATAACTGACGACCATCCATATCTTAAGCGCAAAGATTTAGAAAGTTCTCTTTTTTTCTCCAAGGTTCACTTACAAGCGTTGACAGTCACCGCTGGGATTTCTTTTGTTTAACTTGACTCTTTTCAAATCTACCTGCCCCACCCAAGCACTAAGGTGCTTCTGATGTTTTCTACGATTTGAAATTAATCTTTTTTTAATTGCAAAAATTAGAGCCGCGCTTGGAAATTTCCTTCGACGACAGGTTTCAACCGTAAAGTAAACATAATTTGGAAAACTTGTCCCAAGTGCGACCCTTCCCTCACATATCAAATTTCTTAGAGTGTTACGGCTTAAAAAAAACCGTTGTAACACGAAAACTAAATACGGTAGAAGGCTAGAGTCACCTTTTCACTTACTTTTCACTAAAGTTGTTATAGTTACTAAACAATTCGAGTTTCACTTTGCGTTGTGCGTTTCTGTTTGCTTGACTGAAAACATGAACAGTAGTTTTTAACCTGTAAACTTAAATTCAAGCAAAGAAGTTTCTAGTGGTCATTACAACAGAAGATCAGATAGATGCTTGCTTTTATGTGAATCCTCTCACAACTGACATATTTCAAGGCCTGGACAAGGAGCTTCCTGATCATTTTCTCTCGTTATGCCTTAATTAACAAATCCATCAAATTATTCAAATAAAAACGCTGAATCAAATATTTTCCACATAGACGATCTCGGTTAAGCTAAAAAAATTTAAAAAAGGCAGTAAATCGGAAACAGTTCGAGACGAAATAAGAAATGAATACGTCATATTCGGTGGTTTGGCAATTAATACACGCGCAAATTTTGCGATTTACGGGGTATTTTCCAATCCCCATGGAGGCGAGCTGTTATGACAAAAAGTGGGCAAATGTGTACTCATATTATATGTTTAACCACTGATTAAGGAATGTTTTTTTTCACCATTATTTCATTTACTAATATTTTTGTATCAAGTTTTCTAAAAACATCGTGTAGCCCTATCTGAACATTGATCTTTCAAGTCGTGTGCGAAAGACCAAAATTATGCAAAGAAAACAATAAGAGTGTTCTGCTTAACCAATCAAAAATCGAGTGCATTTAGGAATTTTTAACGTTCATAGCGGCCATTTCCTTACTCCGCTTAAAGTCGGCATTCTTGCCCATTTTTTTTAGTATGAGGTAGTCTTGATTAACATTTTCTTTAAAGATTCATCACTTACAACCTCGCCATCGCCGTCGCCGTCGCCGTCGCCAGTTCAGCTGCTGGTATGTTTCCTAAATAGTCATTTAGCCTTTTTATGCATGTTCTTTTTCAGGATCTTCTCTGTTTACAAATGTGACAGACATTTTTATTCTAGGCAAAGGATTATGTTTCAAAATTTGGCAGAATAAATATTACCGGAAGGACTTCCATACAGGTATGTAATTTTCATAACTTTTTTTAACTTGGATGTATGTCGTTAGACCACAAAAAGTAAATATCTGACCTCTGTGGATAAACAGCCACTAAGCCATATGAAGTGAAAATGATGAGGCTTACAAAGTAATCCAGGCTCCTAAAAGTGTTCTCTAGCCAATGAATACCCTGGACACCATTATGGGCCTCCTACTAGACTTTTTCCGCATTCTTTATATGAATTGTTGAGACTAACTGGTGAATGACCTGGAAATATTTTATGTAATTGTAGGAGGCTGTAACTGTGTTTGAAGATTGCACCTTAAAAATCAAGAACGTCACAAAAAATAAGGCCAGCATGGAAGACGTTAAAATACAGAGAAAATCCATCTTTGAGGTGGCAGAGGCCGTCGAAAAATTTGCTCTTAATTATAGCAGGCGACACCTGAGTGAAACGAGACCTTCAGTAACGATCATTTCCCCAACAATGGGTGAGATTTCGGCCTCTAAACCTGTTTAGTTTCAAAGTATATTCCTCTGTTTTGTACTGACTTGCTGACTGACCGAATGGGTTGTTGTAAGCCCAACCTACATGAAATGTTATCGTTGAATGTCATCGATTCATCTATTCTTTCAATTTGTTTAATACTTTGATTTTTTGCGGTGAAGAACGAAATTCAAGGTATTCTTGAACAATCAACAATAGAAAATCAGAATCTTTCAAATTGTGAAACCCTTCTTCTCGCTCTGTTTATTGAAACTTTTCTTAAATAATAGACTGGTGAGTAACACTTTACTAACTGAAATTGTCAAATCTTACAAATACTTTCCGCATACTTCATACTATACACTGAGCTCAAAATTTGCCTATCGACTGCGATGCATATACATATGAATTCAAGATCTTTAACCGTACTCTTAAAAGTTCCTAATGAACTTTATAGTTCTCCGACGAAACGGTTTGAAGAACGAAGTGAGTTTTCACAATTTGGGTCAGTGCAGCACTACTCACTTTTAATCAGTTTTACATTGAAAAAACGTTTTAAAATGGTTGAAATTGTCGAATAGTCGTTGAAGGGCAAGTAAGATACAAAAAAAAAACACTTCCATTCAATAAGATTATGAAATATTTTGTGTACACCGCAAAACGTAAGTTTGTGTATATGTGCTATTGTAAATTTCACCGTAAGTGCTTTCATTTGTGATTGACTGTTTTTTTTTCGACAGTTTTGGACATTCAAAAAGTCTATCGCCAGAATGCGAGTGACTTCCACTTTGAGGAACAACGATGGCAAGCGAGAATCGATATCGCTTCTTCAAATTTTGAAGACAATGGTTCGTATTAACCAGCGTGTTAACTTTACAACTTTTCATTACCTTGGTTTCTCCAATCGAAATTTCTGTATTGAAATAAATCCTCATAAAAATGTGTACACAGTCTATTTTCTTTAATCATACGCCTTCTTTCCAATTTCACATACCTCAGAGCCTGATGAAAATCTCGATTTTGTGGGTTTTTTTTAATTTTTGATTCTTTGGGTTTTTAAGAATCATTGGTAGTTGCATTTGTGTTCGAGAATCTGCATGAACTACTTCTGACAGATCAAGCCATCACGAGTGAAACAGACAATCAAAGGTGACATTATTTTCATATTACTCCACTTCGTTTACCCCCAAAACACATTACACGATAACACATAAGATCTAAGTTCAACTAAACTGAACATACAAAGGCTCCCTGCTTGTCTCTGACCATTCCACCTTGCTTAAATCTGCCAAAAGTATGTAATATTGCTTCCTTGGTTCTGGTCCATTTTCAAATACAATTTCTTCATAGGTATCTCAACTCCAGGATAATGGCCGTAACTATGGACCCCAAGCCAGAGAAATTGCGAGAAAATGTCATCCTTAAGTTCAAAAACCTGAAGGTAACATGAAAATTAGTTGCAGAGCGTTGATTTGATTTATTCTCACGCGATAAAATCTATTTTCAGGTCTTGACAGCAGAGAAGCGTTGTATGTTTTGGAGTGGCTTAAGCGAAAGGTAAAAAAACTACAAAACACTATTGTAAAGTATATATTCCTCCTCAATTAAATTAAGTACGGAGGAGAATGAATATACTTTCTCAGTCAGATACTTTTGTGCAGGTTAACGCTTTCGTGAAAGAGAGGAGGAGAAGTCTGATTGAAATGTTGTCCCAACTAAGACTTCAATGGAGGAAAAGCAGCGAAAAATTATAAAACATTACCTCTTACCCAGACAAGAAATAATTTTGTGCGCCTCGTTAACTTACCTTTTGTCATGTGTGACAGCTTTTCAGAGGAAGGATGCCATGTGATTACATCAAAAAGCAACTCCGAAGAAACAGTTTGCAGTTGCAATCATTTGACGCATTTTGCCGTCTTAATGGACTACGACGGCAGCACAAAGGCAATCAAATAATTTTTGTCTTACCCAATAATTTTATGGGCTTAATTAAGTAACTTAATGTTTTCCTTTCATTTTCTTTATCTCTTTCTTTTTTTGTAACAGCTCACCGAGGAGGACGAAAAAATTCTGAAAACTATCACTTACGTGGGACTGAGCCTTTCCATCGTCGGGATACTTTTAACATTAATACTTTATTCTTGCCTCACGTAAGTAGTGTACCTGAATATTAATTAGGTCAATCCTTAACTCTCTTCAACTATGCTGGTGAGAAAAGAGATCTCAATACAAGTCTCTATGCAAATGAGAACATGCATGTCGAATACTTCACAAATTTAAACTTCATTTCACGCCTCATCAAGAGTTTCTGAACAGCTTATGGTTTCACGGTTTATGAATTTTTTCCTTTTTTGTCCTTTCTGCAGCAATTTGCTGACTTTTTTTTCCTTTGCTGTTCTTGTTGTCTTCACTTTGTTATTGTTGTTGCTTTTGTCTTATTCATTCTCCTTGTTTTTACTACTAATTCACCAGAGATGTTCGTCAACCTCTTTCTCAAATTCGTCTGAGTGTTTCTACGTCTCTTGGAGTTGGACAGATCATCTTCCTCGCCGGAATGAACGCCACAGAAAACAAAGTCAGTGGCCTCTCCTTCTATCCATAGAATGAGTTTACTCTTTGCAACGTATATATCTTGTCGAAAGGAGCACCACGGGAATTATACGAAAACTCTTTCTTTCCACAGGCTGTCTGTGTTACAATAGCAGCTCTGATGCAGTATTTCTTGATGGCCGCTTTCTGTTGGATGCTGATTGAGGGAATTTATCTCTACTTCTTCGTTGTGAAAGTTTACAACATTAACACCAAGATGTACATGTATCACGTCACCTCATGGGGTGAGTTTATTATTTTAAAGCACTGGTAACTGTAACCATGCTTTCGGATCGCCAAATCTGGTGTTGGCATGCAGTAAAATGTTTTGATTTCCTTCCTTTCTTTATGGTTAGGTCTTCCAGTGATCATGGTGGCCATGTCACTTGGCATCGCTGCTGGAAAAGAAGGGTTACGAAGCTATACGAGTGATAAATAGTAAGAAAAAACTTCGACAATTTCTTCTTGTTCTTCTCCTTTTAATTCGTTGCATTTAATTCTTTGTTTTGTTTTTTTCATATATTTTGAGACAGGTATCATTTCATTTGCTGACAATTTGTGTTTCTTTCGTGTCTCTCACCTCTTCGAGTTTAGTTGCTGGCTTTCCTCGTCTGACAACTTGATCTGGATATTCGTCGCTTTTGTGGCTTTCATTGAAGTTGTGAGTTTATGATTAGTGCTGGTAATTGTGATTGGTATACCTGGACTACTTGCTGCTAAAGATTTTTTTCTCTGATCTTTAAAAAAGGAATTAAATATGTGTGATATGACCTCACACATCATTTACTATTTTCCTTTTCCTATTTACTCACAAAAAAATTTGGACGCAGCCGCTGTTTGCAGGGATGCTGGTCAATTTTGACTAAGTGATGGCCTTTAATAGCGAGTAAAGCCTGTTGGTACAAAGTCTACACGGGAAATAGATAGCTTCATACATTCTCCAACTTTAACTACATAGTATGAGGAAAAAGATTCTTCCCTTTCCATGTTGAAGTTTTCTCACTGTTTCACACTGATATACCAAGATATGTTTTTTGCGTCCAAATTTCCTTAAAAAACATTGAACAAGATGAAAGGAGCAGGAAGTTTAGGAGATATTAAATTTATGTGATTTAGCATGAGGATTCACTTTGCATAGTTCATTTAGTTCAGACACTTTAGTTCGCGATTTCTTTGCTCGAAGTCAGGGAATCGAAGCTCATAATCTAGGTTCCACAGTTGGGAGTTCTATTCCCTGTAAATGACTCTTCATCCCAAGCTAGTTACCAAGCTAATAACGTCTTTAGCAAGGATCCTCTCCTACTTTGGCTATTCGACTACCATATCCTAATAATCAATTTATTTTTATTGTATTTTTCAGCTCAATATCTTGATACTCGGACGAGTCATAAAGGAGATGAGCAATTTGTTGCAGCCGATAGGGGAAGAGCATCATTCTCAGCAAATACGGTAAGATTCACAACCTAAACCTAAAACAAAATAGTGGTAGAAGCTACCATGTCCTCCTGTGAGGCTATATTCGCCTAACTTCCTCATTCCTTAATCAGTAAGGCCATACGATATCTAAAAATGAAAATTCATTGTCAAAGGAAAATAAAGGAATTTTCTCTTTTTCACTCCTAGAATTGGCATCAAAGCATGCGTGGTAATGATTCCCCTGCTGGGTGTCACATGGGTATTCGGTCTCCTCTCGCCTGTACATAAAGCTTTCGCTTACATCTTCACCGTATTTAACTCTGCTCAGGTCAGTATTCGATGGTAATACTCAAAATTATTCAATCTCTATCTTTATTTAACTTTCTAACCAAATGGGACACCATTGCAGTGGTCACATTTTTTTAAATTTTAATTTGAAAACAAAAATGCTGTTAAGTATGCAAGAGAAGACAGACTTCTTTTTCCATTATAAGATATGCAATTTTCTTTCTTTCTTGGAAATCTTAATAGGTATTTGACTGATTTGTTTGTATACTATAAAAATCAATGATCTTGAAATCATTTTTATGCTGCAGGGTTTCCTGATTTTCGCTCTACACTGCTTGCGAAACAGTCAGGTAAGTAAAACATTAAACTGATTATCAACTCCATATTATCAAGTTTTATTGTTTCGATAAATATCCGAGTACTAGTGCTAAGAACCATATTTCATGTTGCTTGTCTATCTGCAGATCAGAGAGCGATTCAAAGGAAAGATGAATATCGTTTTTCCATCTTCTATAAAGAACAACTCCACAAGTAAGAGCTCACAGGTCAATCCAAGTGAGGTTGGGGATGTATGGGCAGCTGAAATGCAGTCTTGTGCTGAGTTTGAATTGAAATTGCATGTAACTTAAATAATTGGATCCAGCCAACCGGAAATGACAGTCAATTACTTAGTACAATCACTAAGTTAACAGCAATAAGTAGGCTACGATCGGTCTGACTTGCGATCAGCAGCTAAAAAGAGGTCTTTCTTTTTATTATTGTTTAAGCACTCAACCAGTTCAGTGTAATTGTAACCTATCTTCTTTATGATTATAAGCTTATTTTCTAAGCGATCTTATATTTGTAGGCAAGATTCATCGAAGTAAATCAATCCATAAATTCAATTTTCTAATAGCTCAGTATCTTGATGACTTTCCTTCGAATAAGACCACAGTCTACTACAGATGAGGCGGGAATTCTTGTCAAGATATCACGAATTGTCTCTCTTTAAGAAGCACTCTAGCACGCACCTTTAATTGAACGTATTTATCTTTCGATTCTTACGCGCCAACTTTCTGCGCTTACCGCATGATTATTTCATATTCGACGTTTCACTTATTGAGTTTACAAAGTTCTCACCAAACGCTGTTATTACTTTTAACAATGAGCTATATGGATAATAACTTAAAGTATAAGTTTCTAGAAATTTAGAGAATCCCTAGTCATGCTGAAATGCATACCAAGGAACTTTCTGAAGCATTTTACTTGGTTACTTAGTTATGATATAACACTACCAGTATGGTTGTATTGTAAGCGTCCGGAATTTCCAAGAATACTTTGTATATAAGAACTCACTTGTGCAGCAGTAATGTTGTTGTCGGGAGTGACTGACTTTTCAGAAGGCTATACCGAGAAGGCTATACTGTGGAAAATTGTTAATTTTGAGGCACTTTGGAGACAACTGTGAGATTGTGTCAGTGGTGAGCTAAGAAATAGTTTGTGGTGGGCTTCAATCAGTTTATTTAAGGATAATTATTCTACTTCCTTTTACAGTCGGTCATTGATAAAAATATTACAAGTTGTTTAATAAAGTAGTTATGTTTGTTGATAAATGATGCTCTTTCTGTCTGTTAAATTGTACCGTAACAAGTAATACTAATAGTCTTACCAGCTAGCGCTGACATTCAAAGTTGTTGTGTAATGAATAAGTAGATGAATACGTAAATGTTTGAATAAATAAACAACCAATTTAAAAGGAACAGAAAAAAAAACTCCTTATGACTGGATCTTTTGTGGATCAGTTTCATTTACCCATTTTTTTTTTCGCATTCTAAGATAAGGAGTATCGTTTTGAATCGAAAATACATCGAATAATTTGGAATTAAATTGGGGCAATTTTAAGCGGAAATAACAAACCAAGAGATTATAAACGGCACACATCATTAAACAACGATTAAAGAACAGAGTATACAATTGAAAGGAAAAAGCTTGGCGATAGAAATGCCGAATATTTCCACTGGCCTGGTTTCCAAATATCACTACAGCGGAGACGTAGCATTGAAGAGAAATTTCAACAAGCCAGAGAAGGAGTCGATTATATAAATGTGCCTAACAATTTACAACAGTCGAGGTTATGTCACACCCATTTATAAACAAACATGAATGACGAAGCATACGATTAAGACGGAAGAGTAAAAAAAGAATTATTCTAGAATATACAAGCACCTTTCTCTCTACACCGCTCAAATGCGATAGGTCAAAACGCTTTAAGCTTCGATTGACTAAATAGATCGCAGCTAGGACTAGGGAATTTTCCAGAATAAATTATCGATTATTCCATGAGCGCAGAGACATTCTAAGAGAGTGAAATGTCGGAGTTTGCCGCGCTATGAAAGTAATAATACTCGCTAATTAACACATGAGCGGATTAGTACATGAAAGTTGAAGGCAGACGAAGTAATTAGACCCACCAACTGAAACGCTAAGCATGTCATCGGCGAGATGAATGAATAATAATCATTTTCATTAGCAGAGCTCATAAAGACATAACAGTTCTGAACATCAATTATTTTTGAGCTGCTTCTTTACAAAACTTCAACTACAAAAAGTGGTTTAATGCCGTGAGGTTTTTCGATTGTATTAAGAAAAACAATGGTCCACATCTGGTGCAAGTTGCCTTTTGTCTATTGGTCCGTCTATGACAGAAAAGTAAAAATGGAGACTATAGCCATGAATATGCGAACACAGACCATGATTTGCATTAAACTCAAACTAGTACCAAAGCGTTTTACGAGGATGCCGCAAATCCAAAACTCTCAGCTGAGATGAATCAAATTTTAGTGTAACTACAGCTCTTAACAGCAACCTTTACATATCTTGGGCATTATGAAGTGGATGATAAATGGAACTAAATCCCGAAAATTTTTCAAAACCTTTTTAATATGTTGTATGCTGGGTAAGTACGACGCTAGTTATCCCTGTTTTTTCTGCTATAGCTACGAAACCGTCGAAACTAACTTTCCAATTTGTAAAATATTTATTTTCATTCGGAGCTCTAATAACGAAACATACCAAACTCTACACATCTCCTTTCTAAACTATTTTTAATCATCATAGTAAAACTTTGGGATCTTTGTATTATCATTATTATCATTGTTATTAATTTCTCATTTTTTTTCACTTTCCGCCCAATGCCAAATGATTGAAAAAGAAATAGCCAGTGTAAGTGTAAAGACAGCTTACTGACAGCAACCTAGGTAAGTAAGCCTTTCTACAGGCCAAGTGGCCTATGGGCCCGGCGCTTAACTCCAGTTTCATTAGCATGAAGCAGCTAGGAGTATTACTACTCCATCGCAGTAGTAATACTCCTTTGTACACCTGGGTGAAGAGAAGCACTGTGAGAGTAAAGTGTCCTGCCTAAGAACCCGGACCACTCGATCCGGAGTCGAGCGCACTAACCATGAAGCCACCGCGCCTCCCACTAACCTATAATAGTAACCTATAATAGTTTCATGCGCTTGATGAATTGTGTGATGAGTACAATTTAATTTTATAAGTTGTGCGCTAGGTAAGTACCACCTTAATTATATCTTGACTATCCATTTGCAAAACATTTATATCGATTTTGGAACGTCTAATGAAACTCAGCCAAACCAATCTGAGAAAAAATGTCAGGTGGCGGTTATTTGGCACTCTTAATTAAAACAAAACAAGCCAGCCTGTAAAGATGTGCGCAATAAACTCTTAGTTATTAATTAGAGAAGGATCTCTCGTAAATTGGATTCCTGAAGCCTTTTAGATTCCATATAGTGCAAAGAAATCAAAGATCAAATAGCACAAGACAGACATTCATGCGGTGGTCATGTTGTTCGCGTCGTGGTTGTCTGCACAACAGCTTTTGCAGCTATATTTAAGATAACAGGAACAGATAGCTTAGTTTCTATCGTTTTATGTCACTATGACAAGATGTGAAAAGGGAAACGCGTCTCCTCTTTTTATGCGTCAGATAGCTGCTAAACGTTTGACGAGCTTAGAAAAGCGAAGAACAAAAGAAAAAATTCAAAGAATAACGGCGCTACTACCCTGATCTCCACAATTTCCACTGGTAAAACGAAGCCTAATTGTAATTTTTGTTTTAGTGAGGTGGAGGGTTTTGATGTCCATCGTTTGTTTGAGGATCGAGGGTCGAGGATCGCTTCTATATTCGTGTCAGCATTATTGTTATCGTCAGTAGAAATTTTTTCATTTATTTATTTATTCGCTTCCCATAGAATGCCAAGCAACCTATTTCAAAAACTCCTCTTACATCTTTTCAACATGGGAAAGAGTTTGGGTTAACAACAGGAATGTCTGCTCCAGTCAGGGAGGTTACTTAGTCTCCATCGAAACTGAAGAAGAATGGTAGTTTATCAATTAAGAGATTCAAAAACGTGGTAGTTGGAATACTAGTTCGTGGCACATTGGTTTAGAGAAGAAAAGCGGGTTTGGACTTGGGTGAGTGGAGAACAACTGAATATTTCGAAATGGCGAGATTCTCAGCCAAATAGTAACGACAAATGGGCAGAAATATCTAAGAATGGAGGCCTCTTTAATGTTATCTCTACGCCTAGAAGAAATGCCTACATTTGCGAGACGCCCGGAGGTAAGATAACATTCCAACCATAAAGTATGTAATGTGCTGACATTATATAATTTACATTAGAGTCAGGAAAATTTCTATTGCCTCTTAAAAGTAGAAATATAGTTCGCAGAATATACTCAGCTCCTCTGATTTGCACGTGTGAGCGATGAATGAACTTTTAAGCGCGTGTTGAACATAAAACCCACGAAATTTCCGGGACACATGTTAAAGAAAAATTCATCAGTCTAGAATTGTCCCTTTTTGCATCGCCTGCAGCTGGAAAAACAGCGATCGAAATTGTATGTTTCAGCGCGCTACGATTTGGATAATCTAGCGAACGGAATTTTCCCTTGCCACAAGTTACAAGGCGTGTTCACTGAGGTCAGTGAGTGTATGTATGTTGTTTGGAACATAAAAAACCAAATTGTTTTATTTTTAAGTTTGTGTTTGTGTGCGTGTGTGTGTGTGTGTGTGTGTGTGTGTGTGTGTGTGTGTGTGTGTGTGTACTATCTACTATCTCGTCATTGTCTTAACAACAGCTTCTACCTTTCGGAGCCATACGACAAGTCCAAGTGAGAAAGAAAAAAAAGACCAAACATCCTGAAACGCGGGAAAACGCGGGTGAACAAGTCGTGATTGGTTTTAGCTTTGAATCTGATTGGTTGAAAAAAAGATGGTGGTGCAATTTTTCTGGACCAATCAAAGAGCGAAGTAAAGCATAAACAAAGCGATAATGGTTACTTTCGACATTTACAAGATAAGTGTTTTTATGGCACAATATTTCGTCGATAACTCGCGATTTTCGTAATAATCGTCTCACAGTTTTGTACGCTGGCTATAAAAAGCTGTCCAAGGATGGAGATTGGGGAAGAGTTACTGCTTGCTCCCTCTCTGTACTTCATAAATTGTCTGGAACCATCCTCAGATAAGGGTAACTTTTTTGTTAAAGTTTGTGTGGAAGCTTTTACTGCTGACAAAATATCATCAGCTTTTTCTTTTCCCGGGTGGCAACGAAGTCCGCGGTACGCG